GACCACAGAAAGATTCTTCTACATCTGACCAGGGCACTAACTATTGTAGCTGTATTTCAAACTAAACACCTAATTCACCCTGCAGGCAACCTAGTAGGTTTTTGTTTTCATAGCTCCGCCTTCCAAGCAGGAAACAAACTTTTAACTTCTGATTTCTGAATCCTGTCATTCTGGGCAGGGATACTTTGGTCAGGGAGGTCCTAGTCTGACCAGGATTATCTCTTTCTCAAGTTCTCATCAGTCCTTATAAAAATTGAAGAGCCAGCCAGCCTGCAGATTTGCTCCTAAAAGTTTATCTTAGTCAACATTGCCATGATGGATTTCATTTAGAAGCAAGAAAGTTTGACTACTTTTTTTTTAGCTAACTACCCCCTTGCCCAGTCCAGTTTTTTTCCTTGTTTACACATACAAAACTGTAACGTCATTTTGTGGTGAGGGTAATCATGTTACAGAGCACTCTTACAGACCACATGTTGAGAAACACTCAACCAAGCAGCAAGTTCAGTTTGTTGTATGTTTTCCTTTTAAAATAAAAACAGAGCACTATTAAAGAGTGGGGAGTAACTTTCCTTGTCTCTCAATACTACATGTACATACAAGTTTGTCCTTTAATTTTTGTATTTGGCCTATGAATGAAACCAACATGCATAAAGCCTCCAATACCCTGAACTCTAGACTTTAAAAACAAACTCTATAAATTCCTTTGATTATATCAAAAGCATGGTTCTGCCTCAAGTAAAGCCAAGTGACAAAGCTCACTGAAGGGAACTTACAGTAAACTCTGGAGATTAATCAACTTTATCAGGAAGACAAGTAGAGCATATGGTCCCAGTCTCACCTCAGCATTTTACCTCCAACCCCCTTTGGGGTTATAAGGCTTAAGGGGCTATTTGCTGATACTTCCCTAGTAGATCCTATTCCCACAACAGGCACTAAGTAGTTTGAGGGAAAGAGACACTGAGGGGGCAGGGTTAGGGGAGTGTGTGTAATTAAATAGGATATTCTACATCCCTCTCCTTTAAGGCTTTCTATTTCAAAGAAAACACAGCATCTTTAGTCACCCTTAGTAACAAAAGGTTTTGTTAAGTACTGCACAGTCCCATGGAACAATGAGTATTCTTTCTGGCATTCAAATCCATGCTCAGTGAGAAGAACAAACTTAAACTTGCAATGCAAAGTGGTTTAATGCCATAGAAATTGTAAAGCCACCATCCTCATGAGGAATTGGGTGTTCTGCAGCACACTGGAATGCTAAGGCAAGAATTAACATTAGCATGGGCAAGAAGGAAATTTCTCATTTAGAACAAGGTCTCCTGCTGCATGAGAGAATCATATGGCAGAGTAACAAGAAAATAAGAACCTACTTAGAGTGGATTTTTACGTGTAATTCAGGTAGCAGATTAATAGCAGCGACCCATATGCTCGGCTGAGCACGCTGAACAGCCCCTCTCCATGGCAGAGCTCCTAACTCTTAAAGCCACAAGATGGAGCCAACAGTTCTCAGGAAGAGGTGCCCGTGCTATCCCAGGAATCCTAGGAGCATTTAGCACACAGAACCACACCAGTTAAGTGTTCTGGCTGCGGCAGAACACAGGCAAGCACAGAGGCAGAAGCCAAGCTGTATGTGTGCAATCATTCTCCGGTCCCATCCTGCTATAACTTAAGGAAGGCCTGTATCTCTCCAGAATGCAGAGCATCTGAAGAAAAATGTGCCGTTCTGGGCTTTGGGTACAGCTATGGAACACAGCTGTCCTCAGAACCCTCTCCTGCCTCCTACACAACACTTTTTCACACTACCTTTTTCCTCTGATGCAGCATATTGAGAAAAATTACTTTACTGGAAAGGAGTGCCACAGTGGTTTACATACCTATCTGAAACACAGGGCAAACACTACATAAACAAGATTATGTAAGTTGCTGCAATCCTTGCCCAGAAGTCATCAGCTAGGACATGTTCTGCTTCCAACTTGTACATGAGTAACAGCAGATACTACACCTGAAATTTACTGTGAGTCCTATTGCTATGCAAATCCAAGTTAAGCAGAATAACAGTGCATTAAATCTGTTCTGAACCATCCTGCCTCAGAGGCATCTCAGCTTCTTTACTGCAGTTTGGTCATCACAAACCAACAGAGAATAGAATACCTGGCACACTCAGAAGATTAAGAATCAATTTCTCCACAAAGTGTTGCTTATTCTGTTATTTGAGCCATAAGACTAAAGAGGAAAGCAACTTTGTCATTTATACAGTTGATACAAGCTGTCTGATCCAACTAGGCTGTGGAAAATGAGCTAGGAATGAATCAAACTACTGTACCAGTTTGGTCCCAAAACATACGCAGACTATTTCCGGAAAACTGATGACGAGGTCCTCAGTCACCTCCTCCTCCCCTCCTTTCCACAGTCTGCAATATAAATGTTACCGATTTGATACAAAGGTTACTTCCAGACGCTTAAAAAGTCAGCAGTCATCTGGTTCAAGAATCTGGGGACTACATACGCTTTTAGAATGCTGTAAAAATCAGTAACAAACAAATATTGTGTCTGTTTTTCTTTTATTATCAATAGTAATACAAATCAGTTGTATTAGCATGATAATGAAAAGTGACAAGTTTTAGACATGAAAAATGCTTGTGCAAGTTAGAGACAAAACTCTGAAAAAAAACAAATTTACATAGTATAGCATACATAGTTTAGAGGCAGTTTTATTAAATCTTGCAATCACAATCATTTACACTAAACCTCTTTCTTGGTGTTATCTCTTAACACCCTCCCCTCCCAAGAGAAACACCTGCCATTCCCATGAAGTGTGGAAACTACAGTGAAAAAAATCAGAGCTTTTTTGTTCCTCTTCCCTCCTTCTTCCAACTATAAAGTCAACAGGAGGTGAGCATTGCAACATATGCTTATAGCAATTAAAGAAAGCTTCTGTCTACATGAACTCTGAGTCGAATTGATAAACAGTATCCTTTTTTTGAGAAAGTACTTAGGGCTGACAGGCTTATCAATTCTAAGTTAATGCTTTGGAAAGCTTTAGAAAAAAGAAAAAAATATCTTGGCGAGTATTTAGTTAGATGCACTTCTTCCTGCATTCCAGATTACAGTTTTGTGCCTTAGACCTAAAGTAATCTTTAGCATTATATTAGCCAAATAGGGTTCAACTGGAACTTCACATGGCTACTAACATTTTATTGAAATTTAATGCCCCACAAGCATATGCATTCCTCTCTTCATCAAGCCAAATGTTTGCCTAGTAATTGCAGTAAAAACATTTATCTGTATAGAACACATACGGCACAAGTCACTGAAGATGTGCTTATCTTGCATCTGTACTCAGATCTGCAGAGATGCTCCTCCAAAAAAGAGGAGGGAGTCAAGTCTGCCTCTGCACTCCTAGTCATTAACCTGCTTTTTTTCATATGCTTCCCCCCATTATAATAGGTGCTTTTCTCACAGATGTTTGTTCAAACCAGAATACTGAGGCACTTGAACATTAACACCTAAGCTGCATATGGAAGACTGCATGCTCCCTGCCATTGTTAAACCATTACACAAGAATAATTTTTAAATGCATAAGTGCAAGTGCATAGTCAAGTCTTACATGACCTCCAGCTTTAAATATCCAGTTACTTCCCTACAGCCATGCTTCAGAAAGATTTAAAAGCACATTATACTGAATAAAAGAAGTCTTGGTCTTTAATTACCTAATATGCAAAGGCTTGGAATATATCAACTTCAACACAGCCTTCAGTTATCTCAGCTACACTGCACAGCTAGCAGGCAGCCACAAATACCCTCCTTACCAAAGTTCTCTGTGTTTGATGTACCTGATGTGCAAGTACTCATTTAGATTAGAAGCCAAAGCTCTATTTACTCTGCTCACAGGAAGCCCTCAAGTCCAAAGGAAGCATTTCTTTGTGCCATCTTTTACTCTCTCTAGTCAACCCACCTGATATTGATGTCCACTGATGTTCACTGAAGCAGACCTGGAAGTCATTCAAGGGCCCTCCAATCATATTGCCCCCTTTAGAAGGTTATACTTAGGCACTTCCATGATATGAGGTGGAGGCAACAAGGTTCCAGTCCAGTGGAGCAGTTTTATTGTCTTCCTTGTACAAGTCAGAACGCTTGTTGCCCACTGTTATGAAGTGGCCAAGGTAGCTGCCTTGTTTATCACGTTTTCAGCTGTAAATAGAAAGTTAAACTGAAATAGATCACAAGTACAGAACACTGAAGAGATGCAATATCAATCCATAAAGCAGCAAGCACCTTTTTCCAAGTAAATCCACCTCAGTGGTGGAGTTTTATCAGTTGGAAAAAAAAAAAATAACCTGAGAACAGCACATGGACTATAAGAGACCAATAGGAGACTATTCTCTGAGTAGAAATTAAATCTGCCCTTTCAAATACTGTCAGGTACCTTAAGACTAAAGAGATCAATGATCAAGGCATGCAAGTTTCTTGAGCCAATACAGCTGTGCTGCTCATTTGCTGAGTTCATTATTCATACAGCAAGGAAAGTTTAGTTCTGTCAGGCACATTTTACAATCAGCCTCAGAGGAGCTTGACCTAGGTAAGCTTGCCATGTGAATTCAGCTGTTGTTTATCCTTTAGGTTAATTAAGGACTTAACCTTTAGGTCTCAACTAAAACCAAACCTAAGTGAGTTAGTTGTCTTCCTCTAGGAGACATGGATTTACTGTATGCACAATATACACTCAGTTTTCTTTAGACATGGAAGCTCAAAAGGAAACACTGTTACACTATAACACTTTGTTAGACATAGCTTCAAGCGCCCATTAGGTGCTTAGGCTTTAGGCATAGATGATAGAGCTCAAGTGACAAGTTCTCCCAGCCTCTGCTTCAAAACTGTATTGTCAAGTTGGCTTTGTAATAACAATAAATTACAGTGTTCAAAGAGAAGTATCTCCAGAATTGGTTACCATTCTTTCTGCCCATACAAGATAACGTTAACAAAGAAGGAATTTAACTTGACAAGAATGAAGATTACAGCACCTTTTATTTAGTACAGTTTCCCCAATTCAATGCGTTGCCTGACAAGTTGAACTAGTTATGGAAGACAATGAGTTTGCAATAAGTCCCTGTGAAACCTCAAGCCAACAGAGGTTCTGTTATCTAACACATCTCTTTTTTCAAAGTTCAGAAGTGGAATGCACAAGAGCAATCTAGTACATGTCAAAAAATGTTTTTCAAACTCAAATTGCAATACTAAGTACTGAAACAGTATTCACTACTCATTCACCTCAAAAAGAAACTATTTGTTAATTTAGCGCTGCAGTGTACTTTACTGAACAAGCACACAGCATATTCCTTTCACCAAGTAACTGTGTTCCAAGCACTCAGGTTAAGCAAAATTCACCCTACTCCTTCAAAACAGAAGATAACCATAATTCATTGATAGACTCCACAAGAGACAGTTACTTTCCACAGTGATAGAAGTGGGCTTTTTTGGCAACTGTACTTAAACTGAATCAGAAAGCTCAGTTTAGTCAGCTGACAGGAAGACCTAAGTACTGACTTTTCCATTTCTAGGCTGGGTTTTGTTGATCAATGTCATGACCAGCAAAACTTGGCATGCATCCCCATGTGCTAGGTTGCTGTGCATCAGAAACCGTACATATAAAATTAACAGTGATAACAGATATGGCAACTGCTTAACTTCATTTGCTTTTTGACACCATAACTCACTAGCCAGCTAATCATTGAGAGGTAGCATGTACACCTCACTTATTCCAAGACATGACTGTGTGATGTGACCCATTCTTACTCAATGTTTTTGTCTTCAGCAAGACAGGAGACAGATGCAGATATTCCCACTTTTCAACATTATCACAAGTACTCCATATATAAACAAAAATGATGAAATCTACACTTTGATTTTCACTATTCCAGTACTGGGGAGGGGAGGATGATACATGTAGCACGAGTGTAACTGAGTTTAGCCACAATATATGGGAGAAACCCAGGACAGCATTTGAAGGAGGTGGTAACAATATTATTCCTTTTGTAGAAATGCTTATAGCAATTTTCTCACCCCATATCATGAGTTTAAGGATAAGAAGACAGACCAAAAGGGAATGCATCTAGCCAATATTTAAATATTTTTTTTTTTGCATTGCCTATATCAGTCTGAATGGAGTTCATAGGCTTGATTCATGAATGCTGTATTGACTAAACAGAACATGGAAGAAACTTTGTTTTGAGTTGACTCTCAACTGTCAGTTGCTGTTTCTTACATGGAGCATAGGGAAGAAGCCAGCAGATTTCAGTGTAAGAAGTATAAGTAACAACTAACAGAAGATGGAGACTCAAACCCTTTATCGGACATCAATCTAGCTTTTCTGCAGCTTGCAACATCAACGAGGGCAGCAACAGGGGGAGAAAAAAGTGCTTGAACCTGAACACCTGTGCTTGTTAAGGCTAGTAGAGGTTCAAGATAAACATTCAGAGAAACATTAACAAACTAGGAAGAAATATAAAAGTACTTTGTATAACCAAGCAGAAGGACTGTAAGTCTGAAATTATGTCTAGTTTTGAAAGACACTGGGAAGACAAAGCCTGTTCAGTTTCAGTAGGCATAGATTTTCTTGGATACCAGAAATCATTTCAAAGTTCTGTTTTCACATTTTTAAGGTGTGATATGCAAAGCAAAAGATAAGGGAGTCAATACAGACTTCCTTTCATGAATCTAGCCCTATATCCTTAGTGGTATCTTATCCATGACACCTGCAGATAGACATTTACAGTTCCCAAGCATCACAGTAAGCAACATCTTTCTTTAAAGCTTTTCTTGTTCTTGCCACTTTTCTTGCCATTCTTGTCTTTGTTTTCTGACATTTTCTTTGCTCTGATTTCTCTCATTAAATCAAAGAATACCTAGGAGGGAAAAATAAAGATTAAAACAAGATCTGTCACCAGAAAACAGATGAAACCCACTGCATTCAGCATCAAATACACATGCAGCACCACATTGCACCTAATACAGCAGAAGCGAGTCTAGACATAGATCCCAGTGACAAACTCAACATCAGAATTATGCAGCGTGTCAAATGGTGGCAAGAAGCACAATCTTACCTGGCTATCAAGTCATTCAACAGCCCTGTTTTAACAGCTTTTTATTAATTATCATTCTGAGTTCATGAGAATGTTTATCTGTGTATAGCAAACTCTTCCAGATAAATAACTCTTGTAAACTATGCAAAGAAGTATAGAGTCCAGTCCTTTTCACACAGTTACATTCTTCTCAGCAGTAATCTGCCTAGTTTATAATAGAAAAGCTGTAGCATTCAAGTCAAGAGACACAAAAAGAAAAAAAAAAAACACAAACACAAAACCTCAAGACTATGTTATAAGAAAGATCCAGCAAACATCATTACTCTGGTGTTTACCCTAAAGTTTTAACTGATTTCACCACTGTGCACCTGATGCCTCGGTACATACCACCTCAGATGCAGCAGATGTTTTACTGTAGAGAGGTATTGGAAAAAATTATTTTTAGAATTACTGAACAAGAGATTAGTGTCAACTATAGAGTTATGCTTTTCTGGTTTTAATGGAGAACTACGTAAGTTATGTACTCAGAAGACTATGCTACTAATCAGAAACAGAATAGCTGATCATTCAAAACCCTCTTAAGTGTTTCTTTTAATTCTGTTACAGTGTCAATGCACAATCACCACAATGGCCAATAACTTGTCTTAACACACACAAAGCAGTGCTTATGTGGAGAATAACCAGTATGTCACATGAACTAGTTAGATAAAACCTGAGCAAGCCTAGAGCACCACAGTAGTATACTCACAGCTAGATTGCTATTAAACTCAACTGATCAGAAAACTAGTCAAAGTATAAAGCAGGCTAGGCAGTTGCTAGTCATGAGACAGCTTACCAACAAAAGCAAGTCTAGGTGTTCATGTTCTATTACACCACCCAGTTTATGCATGTGACAGCGACTTACAAGTCAGAATGGTCCTTTACTAAGTTGAAATCATGCTATGTCCCTTATAAGCAAAAGATCTCAACTCAGGAGTTTCATATACTCAGTTTAACAAATGAGAGAAATAAGTAACATGCACAAACAGCATTTCCATTAGTAAACCAATATAGACTAGAAGAACAGGAAACTGTCTAGAAGAGTTCAAGTACAGCTAAATGTGTATGTTCTCTATCAAAGAGAAAACTGCTCAATTTTAAATCTTTAAACAAATACAGGTTACCAAGCCACACCTTTGGAGTCCTTAGGGGGCCCAGGAGTAATTTCAGATCTTCATTGGATTGGTGAAATAAAAAGGCACCCTCTTAAAAAAATATCTCCACTACACACAGAATGAAGGGAAGGCTTAAAACTGTTTTTCTCTCTACTACTGGGCAAACGCTCCGTAGTCATAATTCATCTCTTTCAGAATAACCCACCACAACTGTTTATGCAAGAAACCAGCAGCAGAAACAGAACTGTCCTGGACCAGCATGGACAAGTCAAAACATACCAGGGGCACAGCAAAAAGTTCTTTCGGCAATTCAAAATAGTCTTAGCAGGAAACAAGAATGAAATCTCTAACATTAGCCACACTACACAGTTTTTAGGGAAGGGGAACAATTCATAAGTATCTATAGCTTGCCGTTTATTGCTGTTATAATAATTGGACACAACTTATAAATAAAGCATACTTCAGAGAATCCTTAAACTAAATGGAAAGCTATTGGTTCAGGTACAAGCAGTTAAAACAAGACAATAATATTAACATGCAACATGTCTCTGGTTCCTCTAAGCTAGGTATTTGCTTAAGTGTACACATTCCAGTAAGCTAATTCATTTTTTACAATCTAGGCTTTCAGAAGCCCAACTGTGGGTTTGCTTTTATCCCAGAAAAAGTCAAGAATTAGTCACTCGGCTACTAAACAACAGTAACAATCTAATTGAGCAGATGTTGTCTTACCTTATCTACATTCGCTCTAGTTTTGGCAGAGGTTTCTACATACTGCACACCCCACTCTTCTGCCTTACTTCTAGCCTCTTCTACAGGCACTTGTCTGCGCTCTTCCAAGTCAGATTTGTTTCCTACTACCAGTAAAGGGATTTTATCCTCTTCAGCCTTCACACGCAGGATCTGTTCCCTAATGCATCAAGTATTCAAAATAACAATATCTGTGTCAGTAGCAGCAACAAAACCACACCATTATCAGGAATGGATAAAGTGGTCTGCACATTACTAGTGTTTACAAGAGTACATAACTGTATATCTACCAACAGTTGAACACACACTTTAAAATTATTCTGAGTTTAACACATTATGCTAATAAAAGCCTCACACTTCCAGGAAAACAGTTTTACCAGTTACTAACTCATCTCTAATAAGATTATCATGACAGAAAAGCAACTCACAAGAGGAGTTCCTATCTGAAGGAGAATACAAGTACCACATTTGCCAAGTTTCACCTTGGCATTCAGTCACCATCTTAGATGTCCCAGTCTGTATCCCACTTCAGTACGGATCTGGGCAACATCAAGGATTTGCCAAGGCAGTAGACTGGGAACAGCATAAGTAGCTAGCAGATATAACTCTTAATGGCTACCTAAACTTTACACAAAAGGAGTTACTAACTAGTGCTGAACTAAAATGCTAGCAACCTTCCTCCTTCAAAGACTCCAAGAAAATATTTGAACCATCAGCATTAACCTGCCTATCCCTCTGTCGTTCTATCATATCATCTAGGACCTATCGTATCATCTATTGATAGCATATCATCAATATCATATTGATGATGATGAAATGATCAATCTAGCACAATATCATCAATATCTTATTGTCTAGGACCTATCAGTGTCCAGGAAAGGAGACATGTCAGTCTCAACATCTGCGCTATTACTGGAGCGAAACAGGTTGAAACTAGACTGACACATGTTGCTGTCCATCTAGGATACTGGAATAACTGTACCAGTCTAGTTATTTTTAGATTGCTTCATTTTGTTATGAGCAAGAGCCAAACTAGGTATGACCATGGTGCTACACCCCCTCATCCCACAGTTACCAGACTACTTCAAATGCCTGCACTTTCCATCCACAAAGTAACTGAATGTATATAGAGTACATGAGAATCTAAAATAGGGTTAACACTGAAGCAGAAAATCTGCTGTTGCATTCAACTGTACCTTCACACATTTTCAGATTAGAGGCACCAAAAACACACTGAATGCATAGCATGAGAGCTAGGGATTAAAGACAAGCCCATAGTTCATTCGGTATTCAACTTCTTCTAATTTAAGAAGTCTAGAAGTTAGAGAATCAATAATGCCAATAGCCCATGATGCTGGTGACTCATACTACCCATTCCCTCCACCTTCCTGGGGAAGGGTTTTCCAAGGAGCTTTCAGGTCCTTCTTGCTCATCTTCAGGGCTAGCATTGCCTTTTTTCACTGTTTTGTTGTGCTGGAATCATAAACCAACACACAGTTAACCTAGTCACAGAAGTCTGACAAAAAAAAACACAAACTGCCAAGATAAACACTCCTACTCCTTTTCATCCAAAGCCTTAAGCCTTGGGTTTAACCTTCTATTTTGCTTAAGCACAAAAAGCTAAAACCAAGGCTGGCTACTTCCAAGTGTCTTTATGTTTTGTTTTCTTTTCTAATTGCATCTTTTTTCTCCATCTTATGCCGGCATCAGTCCAAATACTCAGTTTGCAGCTCCACAACAGTTCAACTGCTTAAGTGCTTTCAGTACTCCAGTTAGAGCAAACTAAGCAGAACAGGTCTGCAACATAAGGCAGACTGATACAGAGCTTTTTTCTGGCAAACGCAGGGAACTCCTAACACTTCCCTATTTTTTGGCAAGTTTTACATCAAGTTTACAGCTGTCCTACAGAATCTGTGGATTACCTTCTACACTGAGGCAACAACTATTATCAAATAAGAGTTAGAACACTTGCCCTGAAGAACCTGGCTACACGAATTCCAAGACCAGAATAATGGTATAACCCCCTTGTTTTTCTTTTATGATACACAAGCAATTTCTGTGCTCAATCTGGTGACTTCCACATTAGACTTGCTAATCCCAAGAACAAAAATGGAAGTGTTTATTACTACTGTGTGTCTTTCTAGGAATGCATCTGCCTACAATAGTACCACTTGGCTGCCAACCCTTGCTTGGCACCAATCCATACCTGAGAGTACAGGCTAATCCTTCCTTTCCTTAGAGCACCTGCTTCTAGCAGTAAGCAATAGTGTCTGAAACCTGGCAAAAGTCAAGCTTAATTCCAGAAGCACTGCTCTAAGATAATTAAATTTCACATCCATGAAGACTGAAAATTGGCTTGAACACACATGTTTTAGGAGTCCAAGAGTCTATTACTTGCCTGAAGTTGCTGCTGATGTAATGTACTCACATAAGTTGCAGGCATGAAGACAAATAAAGCCAGAGGCTGGATACCAGGATTTACATTACCAGTTACTGAGAGCAAAATGGTTGGATTGCCACTTCTATTAACCAAATGGTAGCAGACAAAAAGGATGAAGAGTTGTAGCTTTTAAAAAGAGTTGTCCGAGCAATATAGGAACCAGATAATCCTCACTGCATGGGACAGAAACTACTTACCGAAATTCTGCTGTTGCTGTGAAAGATTCATGCTCTGTTATTGAGAAGACTAGAAGAAACCCTTCCCCACTGCGGAAATAGTTGTCTCTGATAGCAGCATAATCCTCCTGTCCTGCTGTATCCAGAATGTCTATCTGAACTTCCTCACCGTCGAGAACTACTTTCTTTCTGTAGCTGTCAGCCTTGGTAGGTTCATAGTCTTCTACAAACTGAATATGATAAGTGATTAGTGTTTAAAATTACTCTCGAATGATCTCAGTATTTGTTCATATCTACTCTCTTTCACTGGAGCGTCATTTAAATTCCCCAAAACCTCATAATTCAGCCAGCTACTAAGTTCCACCACTTTTAAGTTTTCCTGTAAAAAGCAAATTATTTAAGGACTTAATACATCAAAGAGCTAGTCTGCCTAGTCAAGAGAAACTGTTGCTACATGAAATGGTCAGCAATTTCAGCTTAATTTAAGAGCTGAAGACACAGTATAAGCTACCAGCATTCTGATGGCATTATCCAGATCTCCCACTTCAAGAAAAGACATTTGAGTGTACTTCAAGTACAGGTATCTATACTATGTCCAACACAGCACAAGCAATCCAGGAGGTTCTTCAATTGTGTGGAAAGCAACCTCCTCCTGCAAGTGAGAGAAGAGCTGACAAGGAAAGGTGCCATGCTTGACCTCACGCTCACCAGCACCAAGGTCTGGCATCAAGAATCACAGAAAGGGCTTCTATATATGTCACTAACAAAAGACAGACTAGGGGTAATGTGGGCACTCTTCGGAAGGAAACAGGAGACCCCTGACTACCCTGGATTTGGAGAAAGAAGAGGTTCGCAATAACTTTGCCTCAGTCTTCACTGGCAAATGCTCTTACCATGCCACTCAAGCCTTGGAAAGCAGATGCAGGGACTCTGAGAATGAAGACCTTAGGTCCACTGTAGGAGAGGATCAGGCTCAATATCATTTTAGGAACCTGAATGTGCACAAGTCCACGGGACCTGATAAAATCCATCCGCGGGTCCTGCAGGACCTGGCAAATGAAGTTGCTAAGCCACTGTCTATCATATTTGAAAAATCATAGCAGTCAGGTGAAGTTCCCAACAACTGGAAAAAGGGGAATATAACCCCCATTTTCAAGAAGGGGAAAATGGAAGATCCAGGGAACTACAGACCAGTCAGTCTCACCTCTGTGCCTTGCAAAATCTTGGAGCAGATTCTCCTAGAAACCATGCTAAGGCACATGAAAAACAACAAGGTGGTTGGTGACAGCCAGCATGGCTTCACTGAGGGCAAATCATGCCTGATGAGTTTGCTGGCCATCTATGATGGGGCTACAGAACTGATAAATAGGGGCAAAGCAGTTTATGTCATCTACTTGGACGTGTGCAAGGCATTCAACACTATCCCACATGACATCTTTGTCTCCCAACTGGAGAAATATCAATTTGATGGATGAACCACTCAGCGGATAAAGAATCGGCTGGATAGCCACACACCAAGTGTTGCAGTCAACAGCCCAATGTCCAACTGGAGACGAGTAATGAGTGGTGTCCCTCAGGGGTCAGTGCTGGGACCCATCCTGTTCAAAATCTTCACTGGCAAAATGGACAGTGGGATGGAGTGTACCCTCAGCAAGTTTGCCAATGACACCAAGCTGTGTGGTTCATTTGACACGCTGGAGACACGGGATGCCATCCAGAAGGGCCTTGACACGCTTGAGAAGTGGGCTGATGCCAACCTCATTAAGTTCAACCAAGCCAAGTGCAAAGTCCTGCACCTGGATCGGGGCAATCCCAGGCACAGCTACAGGTTGGGCAGAGAAGAGATTCAGAGCAGCCCTGCAGAGAAGGACTTGGGGGTGTTGGTCAACAAGAACCTGAACATGAGCAGCCCAGAAAGCCAACCATATCCTGGGCTGCATCAGAAGAAGCGTGACCAGCAAGTTGAAGAAGGTGATCCTGCCCCTCTAACTCTGTTATTGTGAGACCCCAACTTGGAGTATTGTGTGCAGTTCTGGTGTCCTCAACATAAAAAGGACATGGAACTGTTGGAGCAAGTCCACAGGAGGGCCACAAGGATGATCAAGGAGGCTGAAGCACCTTCTGTATGAAGGCAGGCTGAGCAAATTGGGGCTGCTCAGCCTGGAGAAGAGAAGGCTGCATGGAAACCTCATAACAGCCTTCCAGCATCTGAAGGGGGCCTACGAGGATGCTGGAGAGGGACTCTTCATTAGGGACTGTGATGATGGGATTAAACTCAAACAGGGGAAGTTCAGGTTAGATATAAGGAAGAAGATCCTTACTGTGAGGGTGGTGAGGCACTGGAACAGGTTGCCCAGGGAAGTTGTGAATGCTCCATCCCTAGAAGCGTTAAAAGCCAGGTTTTACAGAGCCTTGGTTGACATGGTCTAGTGTGAGGTGTCTCTGCCCATGGCAGGGGGCGTGGAACTAGATGATCTGAAGGTCCTTTCCAACCCAAGCCATTCTATGATTCTATGATCTGAAGCTTCAACAGATACAGATGACAGCATCCAGCTGCTGAACATGAAAAACTGCTCCGTAATTAGACAGGCATGTACTTTAGTCTGTTTAGTATTGATCAGACCCACAAAGCCCCTGCCAGTTTCACTTTCACTTCTGATCTGACAGCAGATGTCCAACATAGGCTCCTTCCCTAATTCCTTTCTCTCGGCATCAAAGTACAACAAAAGGCTGTGGCATGAGCCTGATTAAGCTGGCCTTCACTAATGACTATGTCATCTGTTCAGATACTCACATTACTACAGCACGTGTGGACAGCTTATAGATAAATACTAACTTCTGAATTACAAGATACAGACAATACTAGTCTGGATTGTCTGATTTAGCTTCCTTTGTAGCAGTAGGAAAGCATTCATGCTATGAATATGCCTACATCATCTGGCTCTGAATGAGGTAGAATGCTTACTTCTGACTTCACCCTTAGCTGGCCTAAAAGAAACTGCAACAAAAGTAGAGTTGAATGCCAACTGCTAACGGCCTCCATACACTCAAAGAAGAACATGCACATTATGCATGTGTTTTGAAGACTGTACTTTCACCAATAAGAATCAATTTTGCCACCCTTAGTCAAAGGGGTTCCCAGAAAACACCCTTCCCAGATTCCTACATTCCTCTCCTGCCAGGCAGGTCATCAGGACTTTTCGCTATTTAGCTTCCCTGTCCCACTAAAAAGTTTATGAAGTTGTACCTACTGGTACTTTAGAGTAGCTGAACTCAAAGCTACTTACCTCATCATACATAAATTGAAGAGTGAGTGCAGATTTGCCCACGCCTCCACTGCCAACCATAATTACTTTATGGAGGGCCAAGGAACTCTGGTTCTTGCTCTTGCTGGCAGCCATTGTCCTGCTTGCCACAGATGACGTGCCAAGGAACAAATTAAATCTGCAGACAGAAGAAATAGTCACCATTCATGACACTGGTGACATCATGGCAGCATGAATGTAAAGCATCTTACTAGTGTTGAAAGATCAGGTTAAAACCCTGCCCAGCAAGTCTGAAGAATTGGTCACTTCAATGCACTGGCAAGCATTTTAGCCTGGAGAAGAGAAAGCTGTGTGGAGACCTCACAGCAGCCTTCCACTATCTGAAGTGGGCCTACAAGGATGCTGGAGAGAGACTCTTCATTAGGGATTGCAGTGATAGGACAAGGGGTAATGGGTTAAAACTTAAACAGGGGAAGTTTAGTTTAGACATACGGAAGAAGTTCTTTACTGTGAGGGTGGTGAGGCACTGGAATGGGTTTGCCCAAGGAGGCTGTGAATGCCCCATCCCTAGCTGTGTTCAAGGCCAAGGTGGACAGAGCCTTGGGTGGCATGGTTTAGGTGTGAGGTGTCCCTACCCATGGCAGGGGGGTTGGAACTAGATGATCTGAAGGTCCTTTCCAACCCTAACTCTTCTATGATTGTATGATTCTAGACCATGTCACTGATGTCTCAAGTATCCGTGGGACAAGGTATTAGAACAAATAGCTTCTATTTATGACAATAATACCATTAATAGAAGTGCCAAAAGTTTCTCAAAGCAGCTACTAGCTGAGCAAGGTATTCTTATTTGTAAACCCATACTACATGACTGCTATCTAGAGTTCACAAAGGGGAGGAAAAAGAAGAAAAAAACAAAAACCAAAAACAAACAAAAAACCCACAACAAACAACACACTGTCAAACACAAAATTAAGTGGTTCTTATTGTTCTTATAAGGCTTTACACATCTTTAAAATATTTAATGTTTGTGCAGCTTAGTTTCAACCTGGAAGCAGAGCTATACCTTAGGTCTGCTTATAGGTAGAAAGCTACTTTTGATATCTTCTCTATATGGGCTAAGAAAAAAGCCGAGACAGACAGTAAATTCTGGTAGGAACAAGTTGCAAAAGCTTCCAGAAGAAAGTCGTATGACATGGCACTAGCAATTATTTTATACTCTCTGCCTTTTGATGCTGCAAATCTAATTTGCTTTGGGGAGTGGGGGGGAATCCTGCTTTACTGAAGAAATTCTTAATCCCTATTCTCCTGATGTTACAAAGCCATGAAAGAGTAAGCTTCAATAAACGAGAACTAGCTAATAAGCCTTTGTTTGTGTGTTATGCAAACAGTAATTAAGTGCTGAAGACATCTTAAAAATAATACACGGGGGACAAAACCAGAAGAAGTGACCAATACAAAAAGATTGTATCACTTGTCAGGATTCCCACACACAAAAAAAACGTAGATGGGTATTCCAGCAATATGATGGCCTTAAGGGGGATGCTAGGAGAGCAACACTTTCATCCCCACAGCAGGACAACCAAGGGCCCAGCTGTTTCTATCTTGGCAGAGTATTGTAAGAACAGCAGACCATTCAGGAAATACCACTATCAGAATACTATCAGAAGAGGCTGTACCACCCTTGATTTATAGCAGCAACCATTATTCCAGAAGTACAGAAGTAAGAGGCCTATAAGGAGCCTCAAATTTTCCAGGACATGATTACTTCAGAATGACAGTAGCATTGCCACACCACATCACCACATTCTACTGGATAGAAATACAAGACCTACAGTAGAAGTTCGAGTAGTATACTGGAAAAAACTTCAGGATGGCTGTCTACCCTAAATAAAATTAACTAGAGAGTAAAGAATTCACAACCTACAAACACACCATACTTAGCCTGGAAGGGACCTTTGGATGCTGTCCAGTCCAAACCTCTCCCTTAAAGCAGTTTTCTCCAAGCAGTCCAGTTTGTGTGCCTTGTGTTTTGAGGTTGACAATTCCATGACCAATCTAGGCAACCTGCCTTGGGGTACACTGATGGTTAAGATCCTTCCCCCATGTCATGACTTGATGCTCTCAAAAGCAACAAATCAAAACCTAAATTCTCTTTTGTTCTTGTACATAGTAGTCAACATGTCAACAATCAAGAAGTGCCCTCAGGACAGCATTTTCAAACATCTAAGCAGTAGTATTTTTCCATGCAGAGTTCTTTTTACTCACACCTGTTTGCTACACAGGTTTAGTACAGCAATGCAAATTAATCATCTTTAAGTGTTCATTCTGGGATAAACATGGGTAAGTAAACGCAGATATTTTCCTCTGGTAATCTTCCATATCATGCTATACATCAGCTGCTTCATCCAGGACACTTCTTTGTGCAAAAATTGGATGTGACAACTCCTGCTTCGCAAAGATTTTCCCCGTACAGCACAAACACATTTGTGCTGGGGACAGTGAACTCTGCTATTACCCAAGGGATTCCTAACCAGAAGAGGACTGCAAGCTTGATTTATAGGTATTAGTCACCAGGGAGGCAGGGGACAAGAGGGGACTACAGAGCTCCCCACCAGCAGAATGTGGAACAACCAGGAGAAAACACAACAGGTAGTATTTGAACTCCAGAAGGTGTTGCTGAAGGCTTTCTTTGCTTATGGTCCATGTGTTCAGATGTACACATGTCCACAGACTGACTGAACAAATGAGATTATTTTTTGAGTTTGGGGGACTTTTAAGTGTTCCAGTAATAGCACTGCTTGTTCTTAATGATTTTTAGATAATATTATTTTCTCTTAGTTTAGGAGTAGTCTGGCTTTGACAGTAATAGATAAGATGCTTTCTGGAGAGGCCAAATGACCCTTAGAAACTCTTCAGTGTAATCATGACTGGCTTTAACTTTTTGAGTATTCCTTTAAGAAGCATCCTAAGGTTGAGGGAACTGCTGTGTTATCTAACACAAAGCTTTCAAGTTAAACATATTTCTGGCAACACAAGCTTAGTGCTTCTGCCTATTAAGGTGCCCTAAGTACACTGCGTCACGCAACTGCATGTAATAAGATGTTTACTAACAACCAAGAGAGGAGACAGCAACTTTTTTCCTCTTGTCAATACATGTAACACATTTTTACTTCATCATATTAAAGGAATAGCTGTCTCTTCGGTAAAATACTGACCAGTGTGATTTAAAACAAGCTCATCATAGATGTGTGGGGAAAGAATACCTAAATACTTCCTTCTCTATCCCACCTCAACACTGGCCAGTAGAAACTACAAGCTCCACCTTACAGTACTACCTGACTTGTAACAAAGCATAATATTAAGCAAACCTCATCCAATACCATAAAGATTTACAGTTTGATTGCATCTAAAGCTAGCCCAGCTCTTAACGGCCAAGGTACTTGACCCTCACTGAGGAGCTGCTACAAACGCCACTTGAATCTTTTGGAGTATCAACACTACATGAACCCTCTGAATGCAGGTACCTGCTTATAATACAGCCCTTACCTAGTATGCCTTTATTGAAATCGTAGAAGCTTCACACAAGGCATCTCTTCTTCAGTGGAAACAGAAGGAGTATGGCCCCCTCCAGCCCCAGAATACCCAGGCAGTAGAGAACAAGACAAGGCTGAAACAGTGTGGCACAGGTAGTATCAGTTCAGAAGTACCAGTGTTTTTAAAACAGGCCAACCACTGGTTCAGAAAGGGGCATGGTGAGATTTTAATAGGAATGCTCTAATAAAACCAACAAGAGGAGTTATTGGAGCCAACTCTGTTTACTTGTATTCCCACTTCTGCAGCTCAAGAAACAATTTACACACCATGGTTCAAAGCTCACATCTAGGAGTTCCCTGAGGTTAAAAAAAAAAAAATAATTAACACAAGCTCTCTGCTCAATCATTTCTAGGTAGGCAAAGATGAATTTCATCCCATTTTGTAGATTAAGCATCCCTGAGGCAGTCAAGACAGACATTAACTCATCTGTTTCTTACAAAATATGAAGTCTTGGGAAATCCGACCACCTCTCAAAAAAACAGCAGTGTCTAGAAGAACCTGTGATGACTGCAGTTGCTTTTAAAACATTATTCAATTTCCTTCAGTTTGAGAGTGTAAATTTAAGGCCAAGAGTCTTAATACATCTGCTGAAGAGCCCACCCTCAATAAGCATCCAGAAAAGTCACCTAATTCTGTGGTATGTATTCCTTCCTCTTCCATATTGCTCTTCACTAGCTGGAAAATAAACTGTGCCCAGGCAACATGATTTACCCTCCTCCAACAGGGTAAGAAGCAATCCAGTCAGTTTAATTTTAATCTGTCATTTTACCCTTAAAATTGAATGACACCACATTGAACTTTGTGTAGCAAGTGTCAAACTGGAGGGGAAAAAAAAAAAAGGCAAAACAAAAGAACCACAAAAAAAGAAACAAAGAAAACCCTTCTGAAAAATTTTTTTTTCAGGGATTTCTTCTGGTTACAGACAATCCTGAGTAAAAACAAATAAAAAATACACACACACACAAAAAAAACAAGAATAAAAAACACCACAAAAAAACCAACACACAACCAAAACCTAAAAAGCCCTCAAGTGCTTTCAACACCCTCCAGGTTAAAGCATAAACTTATTCAGGCAGTCTTTCATCTTTAAGAAGGTAGAAGCAATTACCTGCTTCATCTGCTTTAAAAGGTAAAGCCATTGACTTAACTTTGCATTTGTTTTAGAATAGGTTAAACAAAGACATATGTACAATAGAAGCTTTGTGGTGCTAGTGAAAGATGCTCCTCAGACCAAGAGATAAAGGTTACATGAGAAGACAGGCTGGCCACATGAAGCACAGCAAGATTTACAAATCAAACCACAGTAGTTACTAAAAAACTGTTTTGATTTAGACTTCTGAAGATCTGTACTTGGCCAGAGGACTAATCAAACCATGCCACCCTTAGTATAAGAAATCTAACCCTATGCTTTTACCAACTATTTCAGCCTTCCCTTGCCTTACCTGTTTAGAGTACAACTTCTCCAGGTTAACTAAGGCCTCCTGCTGTAGTAAAACCTGAAGTGTTGTGTCATTCTTGGCTGGTCCCCCAAACCTGAACACTTCAAGGTAGTTTACAAATAGCTTCATAAACATCAAACTTAAGCATCAGTTTGCTATTTTCCCACCCA